GTGGTCGTGGACCTGGCTGTCATCTGCAGGCGGCAGTGGGAGCGCCTGCTCTGCTGGTGGCTTCACATTCCTTCTGCTGGTTCTCACCATCTTTGACACAACTACACCCCCTGTAGTTCAGGGTAAATAAATAAATAGTCAGGTAAATAGTGTTACAAATATGAGCACACTGGTTCCTGATCAATAAATGAGAGAACTGCGGTTTTGCTTTCTGCTCTACTAGCGTGGGCTTTCAGGATGACACTGAAGACTTACATTAAGCTCCTGTGTATATCAGTTCCCTTCCACACCCCTCTGATCCCAGGACTCAGGAGATAAACATCAATCTTCATTTATCCTTTTTATTAAACACAGTCCTATTTTCAGTCCAAACAAGACTGCACACATACCTTCCTGCTTCTCTTCCTCATCCTTGAGTCTCTTGATGAGGGCGTCTGCAACGGGGGTTTCAGAATCCACCTCCAACGGAGAGTCCAGAAGGGGAAGCTCTTCCTCTGGGTGGTCCCAGAGTTTGCTCCTAGTCGGTCGACGGGAGTCGGTGTGACTAGCGTTGCTGTTAAGCTCAGGCTCACTGTCTTTTACATTTTCAGTAACCATCTTTCCTCTCGTCTTCCGTGCGCTCTGAGGGAGTGACACGGGAACCAGTTCCACCTGGACGTCAGTGATCAAGAATGCATAGATCAGGTTTTTCCAACATGTAGTATGGAATAAAGTATAATCCATGCATGAAAATAACGGGCAAAAATGACAATGATATTATGAGGTGAAAGCTAAAAGCCCTTTCTGAAATGTTAACTCTCAGACTGATGAGTTAACTATCACAATGATATTATGAGGTGAAAGCTAAACGCCCTTTCTGAAATGTTAACTCTCAAACATGATGAAGATAAGGCACTTGACAGCTTAATGTCAAACCAAAGTTGGTTTGTAAATGAGAAATGTTTGTTTTCTACAACAGCTTGAAGCTTATTTAACATCAATATTTTAAAAAGCTATTTTTTTTACCTGTGGGTAAACCATGTGGTTGGACTGCCGCGTCATCCTGCCAGGGCTATGAAGGTGCCGTTTTGTGTTCTCCACCCCGTCCAGCTGGGCTGGCTGTATCTCTGATGCTTCTGACTTCGCCTTCCCGGAGCTGTAATTGACAGGAGGAGAAGAGGTTTCTTCCTCTTCTTTCTCCTTATTTAAAAGCCCCAGTGGTGCTGATTCCACCTTAGTGTTATTCAGTATCCTTCGGGTGGACCTCCTTGGAGGGTTTCCCTGAGTGGTGCTGCATTTAGAGCTTGTCTGTCGAACCGATTTTGTATCAGTGACCTTGTCCACGTGGTCCTCCTCCTTCTTAGCCTCTGTGGCTGTAGACACCTCGTCACTGCCACTTTGACTCCTCTGGCGTGGCCTTGTTGAAGTGGCCCTCTGGGAAACCCGTCGCCTGGCTGGAGAAGAGGCCTTGGAGGAGGATGCACCTGTGGCCACTCCCTCTTCACGCTCATCTTTCGGAGACCCTGGCTGTGCTTTGCGAGTACTTCTTCGAGGTGTGCTGGCTTGGACTTTGGTTTCTTCCACCTGTCTAGTTCTTCTAAGTGTACGACTAGGTGAGGCAGGGACCAGAGTGCTCATCTCCATGTCCTCTACTCTCCTTTCCTCCTCTGACTCCTGTGCTTCTTCCAGGACAGGAGAGACAAAAGTAACAGTCCTCCTCCCCCTCGTGGGCCTCCGGTTTGGGGTGGAAGGAGCCTTCTGCCTCTGAGAAGTCTGGGTCTCTGAAACACACTGTTCCTCTGGCTGGCTGTATGTGTTGACATCATTTTTATCTTTTCTCAGCCTTGCCCTAGTTACCCTTTTCATTTCATTCTCTTTTGCAATTTCTTCTGTGTTATCTTCTTCTCTCTCTAAGGCTCTGTCATCTTCCTGCTGCATGCCCACAGCAGTCTCTGCACTCAGGGCAATCTCTGTATCTATAACAGGCCCATTCTGGTCCCTAGCAGATGCTAGTTTGACCTCTACCTCCCCTGTCTCCTCTTCGGCAGCATCCTTTTTTGCCACAGAGTCTTTGTAATCCACATCTGCTTGGAGTTCTCCCACAGGACTTTGGTCAGGAGCTGCAGGCTCAGGAGCTGCAAGCTCAGGAGCTGCAGGGAACATGATTAACTCTACATCTTCTATCTCCTGGTTTGCCCCAGTGTTTTCAGTTTGTAGGTCAGTTTGATGTTTTACAGGCTCTGATTCTGTCAGTCCGTCCACTTCAATACCAGCCATGTTCTCCATCTTGTTCCTCTGGTCCTCGTGTGAGGCTTCTCCGAAATGTGCAAGATTCTGATCAACTGTACCCAAAAGAATAACCTCAGGGTTGCCCACAAGTTCAGCACTGGCCACCTCTACTGGAGACTGGACAGAAAGAAAGGAGGACTGCAGAGCATTCTCTATAGGGAGAGAGTGTCCCTCTTTATCCCCACCATCCTCCATATCCAGCATCAGAGAGAAGCTGCTGTGAGTTTCAGTTCCTGGGTCAGTTGGCACAACAGGTGGATGAAGCTCAGGAAGACCCAGCTGGGCTCCATCAACCAGGCCCTGTTGTCCCCCCACCAGCTCCATGGGAACCAGGAGAGTGGTAGAGGGTTTCAGCTCCATGTATGAAGATCCTTGCTTATTATTCTCATCCGCAATCATCCCTCCTTCATCTGCGCCAAGTCTCACCATCACCACCTCACCCTCCATGACATCATCTACGATCTGTGAAGAAAAATCTTTTTTGTGAATAACTGATTATTCATTTAATCTACAAAAATCCAGAAAATGGTGAAAATGCCTAGCTCAACTTTCCAGAGCGCAAGGTGACATCTTCAGATGTCGTTTTACTGATCTATAGTCTTACACCTACAGCACCAACAGGCTTAAAACATTAATAATCAACCAGCTGTTCCGGCTACATGTTGATTACCTTCATCTCTGCATCAGGTTGGATCAGAGAAAACACAGCCGCCTCTTGCTCTGACATACTTGGCAGGAAGTGTGTGTGTCCTTGTTCAAAGACTGAACTGGGTTGGAGGGGTGGCAGCTTCCCATTACCCTGGACCTCCTCAATGATCTCCACCTCACTACCAGAGTCCTCCTCCTCTTCTTCTGCTGCTTCCTCAGCTTGATCTGATGACGACGACGATGACGATGACTCCTCATCTTCTTCTTCCCCTTCATCCTCAGACATAGGGCTAGAAAGGTCTTCACTATCATTTACGCTCACAACAGCTAAAAGGTCAAAACAAAGGAGAAATGTACAGATGTGTGAGAACATGTGGGAGAGTAAATCTTCACTGCAACATTAAAAGTGCCAGTGTTAGTGTGCGCCTCACAGGTGGTGTCTGTGCTGGTTGATTCTGAGGAAGTCACTGAGGTGGCACATGTTTGGCTGGTGAACATGGGGGGAGCCTCAGCAGCTGCCTGCTCCTCTTCACCTTGACCTGGTAACTCACTAGGACAAATGAGTGCAACAGATATTGTTTACCTTGCCACAAAGAAAATCACCATCAGACAAAGTGTAAACACTGGTTAAAGAAAAATAGGGGGACAAAACAGTTGGTGCTTTGGACCACACAGTTCTAGGGACCATTTCGACTGGGGAGCTCCCCTGAGAACTACAGTCACAAGATAAAGTAATGCCACTGTTTGCAATTTCCTGGTTTTCTGGATAAATTGGTCCTGAAATGTGATCACAAATATTAAGACAATATTGGCACCTAGCCAAGATCAGTCCAAAGGCACAACGCTCAGTGAGGTATAGAAGACCCCCAAGCTAACAGCTAAAGACTTGAAGGATTCATTGGAGTTGGTTAACATCTGTGTTCATTAGTCAACCATAAGAAAAATACTGAACAGACATGGTATCCATGGCAGGGCAGCACGGGGGACGCCATCGCTCTCCAAAAACAACATTGCAGCAGACCGGAGCTTTGCCAAAGACCACACTGACCCTCCAGGAGATAAGTTTTTTGTTTTTGTTTTGCAGTTGCTGCTGCTCTGCTGGTTCAGTGTTTTACCAATCAGTGTACTCTTGTGTAACACATGGTTCCTGTTGTGCCGGCATAGTGTCTACCCTGAGGTATGAGCTAAAAAAAGTCCCTCAAAATGGCATTCTAAGAACTATGATCGCCTTCAGTTCCTGCAGTGTGGACACACAAAAGGGGATAGTTCCTCTAACAGTTCTAGGAACTATGAAACAATCCCTCCAGTCCGAAAACACAGAAGAGTTTCTAATTTCAAACTAAACTGTCATTTACCAAAAAGGCTACATACCTGGTGAATGATATCTGAGTCCCTGATGCATTGTGGATTCCTGAGCGGGAGAGTGCAGGAGACAGATCAGCGCCAAACAGATGTTGCTGCACAAACTCTGTCAGATCTGCTGGTAAACAATGCAAAAACAAATCACAGTTTTCCACATACACGTAACAGTAACCAAACCACTAACAACAGCATGTGAATCCATTACTGCAAATAACACAGAAAAGGAAACTGGAACCCACCCCCTCTACCATTTCACATGCTCCAGAGATTTTGATAAAATCAATAAAAGAGCCTGAATGTTAGTATGAGGTCAAGCATTACATTTTTGAATATACAATTAAGCTTTATTATTTCATCCCAGTTTGTGATTATGTTGAATAACACGTCTTGCTCCCCTCTGGGGAGGAGTTTAAACAGTCACACTGAAGAAAAGTTAACCCATAACTGTATAACAGGACAACAACCCTCAGAGCAATATCTTGGAAATATACTTTGTATATATCTATCTGGAAAACTGCATCTAAACTGTGTGTGTACATATTTATAAGTACTTTATTTTTATGCACACTTTTTTTTGTTCTCTCAGCCTTGTCTTGTTTACTTGTCTACTCGTTGCTTTTACAGAAGAACATTGTACATACACACTGAGAGCCACTGTACTGGAGTCACATTCCTCGTGTGTCCAACACATCTGGCCAATAAAGCTGATTCTGACTCTGACTCTTGTCTAATATGAGGTGGCAATATGTTGTAACTTTTTTTTACAGTATAAATGCATCAAAGACAGACCCGTTGATTGTTCCAAGTCATCTTCTGGTTCATTCTTGGGTTCACTGGCTCCAGATGGTTTCAGATGCTCAGTGAAGTCTGTGGATTTAGTGGCCTTCGATTGGTTGTCCTCTTTGTTGGCTTTTATAAGTTGATCGTGAGATTCAACCTCAGTACCAGAGTTCATGCTCTCAGTCACCTGGTTACAAACTAGCAACATACAAAATGTGTCACATGAATATTCTCAACACCTTTTATTTCTGAATATTGAACTTTCAAAGTATAGCATGTCTTTGTATTTTGCTGCCTTGCAGTGTTGGTGTCAAGCAACACACTCCTAATTATAAGTCACAGAGAAACAAACAGACAAATCCTAAAACTGAATTACCTGGACTGTTACCAATTCTCCCTTCTTGGCTGAAAGCTGTGACATCTTCTTGTTTGCTACTTGACTCAAAATCCTGTTCATCCTCTTTGTTAGCCTCCTTTTGAACACCAATCTCCACCACGTCTTCAAATGTTTCATCTTCCTTCACCTCTACGTCCTTCTCTCTATGCTCTGATGTCAGAACAGGGGTCTGCTCAGTGGCTGGTGAGGGCTCTTCCTTTGGTTCTTCCTTTTCATTTAGGCCTTTGATGTTCAGTGGTACCTCTTCCTCATCTTTCTCTCTAGCTGTGTGCCCCTCCTCTCCTTCCTGGTCTACTGACAGCAGTGCATCATAGTACTCTAGGGTGACGTCTGCTGACCGAACAGGTGTCTGACTGGTGTCAAAGCTCAGATTAAGATGTGCTACTGTTGCATCTGACAGCCTGGTTTCTGTAGCGACTTCATGGATGGAGGATGACTCACTCTCAGAGCATCTCAGCTCTGGGGGGAGAATACCCCCTTCTGGAGGCAAGAACTTTACACGAGGTTGCTCTCCTTCCTCTTCTTCCTCGGTGGGCTGTGAGGACCAGGTCTTACGTGTTGACTTAAAGAGAGTGGAGCCTCTGGTCAGCAAGCTAATCTCACTGTCTGCTGCCACCTAGAGAGGTTGGAAGACACATTTTATCAAGAGAAAATCAAACCTCCCAGTAGGTTATTGTACATGACAAACTGCATTAGTCAATCATCCAACGCAAAAAAGCAATGAAAAACTACCTAGTAGCAACTACACTTCTATTAAGATAACAGGCTCAATCATCTAATGAACTGCTACCATGCAGAATGCAACAGTGAGTCAAAGGAGGGTCTGGTTTGTTTGTGAGGTGGCTTCTTAAGAGTCAGCGCACCCCTCCAATCTAGTGTTAGGTCTTACTCCGTTGGTCCATTGGATGCCCTTGTCTGATTCAGGAGATTCTGTCTCTTTGGTGAAGGTGATGCGGCTCTCTTTGCTGCGGAGCGGCGGGGTGATGGAGCGCCCTGGAGAAACAGAAGGGGTGGCGACAGGTGTGGGCCTCAGGCTGCTGCGCAGAATGGACTGTGGCGTGAACCCTGAGAACACAGGGCCAGAAGTAGCCAAGGCTCGAGCTCGCTGAGAGGAGACACACATGAGGAGTATAGGTAACAAAATAACAAGGCTGGAGGTGTTTTTTGTGTCATTATCCCGCCATAGGATAAAACCCTGAAAAACTATGACTTCATTTTCTAATGGCCTTTTTCCACATAATGCCTTAAAGGGTGTAGTAAGTCTTTTCCAACACTGCCTTTGTACAGAAAGAATTTGTTGTTCTAAGCCATCAACAAAAGTAGGAATTGTTTCAAGGCTTCATTTACTTGCTGCAGAAAAGATGAGTGTTGGATCCCTGAAAAGGCCTGTTTTATATGAAATTTACATATGCACATTTGTTTAGTCACCTTGACAACTTGTGGTGTTTGCAGCAGACTGAGTTCTGGGGCCTTGCTGATGGCCTTTGGAGAAACCCACGAGCTGGGAGGGCGGCGGGGGCTGAGGAGAGGCCGAGGACTCTGACACAAGGGGTGAACCACTAAGTCCATCAGCCTGGGTCACATTGAAGAGAAAGAAGAAAGAGCACATATACATTTAAAATGCTGTCTTAACAAAACTCTGTTGTAGCTTTGTTGGAATATGAATACCAACATTGCACTGAGAGTGTACACAATACTAAGATGTACGTGCTGCTATGTCAAACATTGTGATCACCTTAAACATATAATGTACGGGATATAAATCCCATTTCCCTGTCCCATAATATGGCTTAGCAAAGAGTTTCTTACCATGAGGTTTCTCCAAATGTAATCATGGACTTTCACCCTTTAAGAGGTGCCTTGCTCTCATGTAATTATTTTAGAATCAGTTCCCCCATTCCTGGTTGAGAAACAATTTTAAAGGCAACACCTATATAACAATGAACAAAGATCAAAGTATTTATTAAAGTACCTTGACTTTCGTTTGGATGTCATGGTGATAGGAGTTCCCAGGAAAGGATCAGGAAGGGCCAACGAGGAGGGACCGGGGGTGGGGCTCTGAATATCTGTTGTTTTGGGACTGGCAGAAATTGAAATAGATAAATAAAACTGAATGATAAAAGCCATTACTTTTGAGATGCAATGAGGATATTTTATTCTAACCTCCTGGCTGGGGAGGACTGTTGTGTAGCTGCTTTCCCTAACCACACCTCCCCAATCTTGGTCAGGACATTGTTGATAAATCCAGCCCTGGACATCACCCTCTCACTCGTGGAGCGCTTGGTGATAGTTGACAGTGGCTGTGGCCGAGAAACTGGAGCACAGTGGTTTGAAAAGTTTCCATTAACAGTTTGATACTTTTTCACACTTTAAACTTTTTTTGTAAATATAAAAGATGGAATTAATTCAAGCAGAGCACCTCCTTACCTTCTCTGTGGATGGTGGTGGGGTGCTGGTAGGGCTTGGCTCTCTCTATTGCCATTTTTCTCTGGACTTTAGGCAAAACTTTCCCGTACTGATCCAATATCGAGTTCCTGGTGTTGGATCGCTCTTTAAGCTTTGGGTCCCGCTCGTTCTAGGAACACAGATGCAAAATGATGGGGTTGTAAACTTGATGGGACTCGATACGTCTCTCTACATAATCACATGGTGGCAGAATTCTGAACGTTTTATATACATTTCACATACTGTCCATCAAGATGCTGCTGTGACAATTAGTGTAATGCTTTGTATGTTAGTCAAACATACCACCAGGTTCATTTTGAGGCTGTGGTTGAGCTGCAGGGCAGGTATATAGTTGGCCTGCTGCAGGTAATGAACCATCAACAGTTCTCTGTTCTGGAGACCACCTGTACCCTGGAGAAATTTCTCCAAACATTCCTGAAACACAAACCCATGAACAAGCGTTTTAGGCATCAACATTACCATTCCTTGACATAAAGGAGGACTGATCAATAAGCAGAATAGTGAAAAGTTTTGGTAAAAAAAAAATGCAGCAATTCAATCATCATTTCTCTCCTACCTGTTCATATAGGCCAAGGGGCAGTTTGAGCAGCTCCGTGATAAGGCCCAGCTCCTGGCAGCTCTCGTACAGGAAGCCCAGCAGCTCGCCCATGCTGAGGTGATTAGAGTGCTGCCGAAGTAAGGACCACGCTTCTATGAGACACCTAGAAAAAGGGGACACTGGCTGGTCAAAAACACAAGATAAAACAAAGGGGCTGCAAATAAGACTGCCATCGTGCTTGTTTTCTGAAACAAAAAGCTCTCTACAGCGGTTACAAAACGCCAGCATTGTTTTACTGAGTGTATGGAGGTGTACAGAGTGCTCTCCCTTTGCTCTTACCTGTTGTGCAGCAGTACAGACATGCAGAGTTTGGCCTGGGAGGTGGAGGAAATCGGGGGCTTCATAACATGGAAATACCGTAGTGCCACTGAGTGCTGGCCCTGGCACATGAGTGCTTGCAGGACACGCTCATGCTGCCACTCAAACTGACAGTGTGAGGCAGCTGGATGCAAGAGCAGCTCAAATGAACTCTGATCAGGTCAAAGAAATATGAAATAATGTTTAATAAGAGCTAAACCCTTGAAGAATAGTATGATATAAAACCAGTCACAAGAGGCTCTAATAGCTATTTAAAAGAATTGTTTTCCACTATAGATATTGATAGTAAAGTGCACATAGTGATGTTCCACTGGCCTATAGCAACACTCTTGCCTTGTACAGCCTAGTCTCTCCATGTCCACATGTTTTTCTTTTGGAAACTAAAAACTAAGCCAAATGTAACAATCAATGTTTACCTGGTGGTCATGATGGTCCAGCAGCCAGAGACCTTGGACTAGTTTGACTAGTCCGACAGGGATAGCAAAAGCTGTGGGGAAAGACTCCACTGATGCTCCCTCCTTGTTGGAAAATGAGTATATGACATCCAGCAACAGGTAAATTACCTGGGACAACAGGTCAAGGCTCATACAAGCAGTAGGCTTAATGGAGTATTTCCCTGGAAGAGTTTGAGTTCCTATTACAATAGAAAAATTCACATTTACAATTATTACTATGGAATAGTAAATAGTAAAGTAACTGACCTAACAATAAACACTGTGTATACATTTCAATATATCTTCTAATGTTTTACAAAGTATCAAAACTGTACTAATACAACTCACAGTAAAGCACGCCTGATGTAGAAATGGAACATAAACAAATAGTTACAAAAACTGGAATCTAACAATTTGCTTTTCCATGATAAAATCACTGAAAAAGCAGTTATATTAATTATTTCATATATAAATGTGTTTCTTTTCATTGCCCCTTCTTAACAGTGTATTCACAATGATAGCTGCAAAAAGTAAAAATAAGAGTAAAATAAAAGTCACACATCTTCTAAACATGCAGATTAACAGTTGACATAGTGACATGAGAACTCATAAAAATACTGAAGGTGACTGAGGATGAAGGATACAATTGCATGTTTGGCAGCTTCATCAATGTTGTCCAGCAGATAAATGTCAAGCAAGGCCTATGGATCAAAAATACATGTACTTCTTTACAATGTTGTAACAGCAGATCTAAACTCAGTTTGACATAAACTGAAGAACAGAAATGAAATTTGAAATATCTAAGTTTAAAAACTTACATGCAGTGTAGGTGGTGGGTACTGGCCTGTCCCACCATCATCCCTTTTCCACAGGTTGGTCAAGCATTCTCCACACTGGCCAACCAAACCGTCAATCATCAGACAGTCTGCACACCACTTGCCCCTGAGAAGACAGTAGAAGAGTGTCAGCTTTAGACAAATCAAGGAGTGCTACACTAGTGACTTTAGGGTCCCTCTACTGGTATAATGTTACAAAAAAAAAAAAAAAAAAAAAAACTCCAAAAAACTGAAATGAACATTTTATTACTTTTTGGCAAAGACCACTCACTTGGCCAGCCTGCTGAGCTCCTCTCTGCGTATAGTATAATAGTTGCTAATGACCGAGTGGGTGTAGAAAGGCCTGGAGATCTGGAGAGCGTCATCATCTGATGGGGAAGGAAGTTCAACCCAGCATTAAAAGTGCGAAATCTTAATACAGTAATATGCAAGCGTTTTACCACATCTGGATTTAGTCACACTGTCCCACTCTGCAGTTAAATAATATTTTCTGTCATTTCTATTTTGTTACTGTGGTAATAATCCTGCCATCATATTGTTTTAGCACTGACTGAGAAACTGTGTTCTATGATATTACTGGGACGGTTTCCTTCTGATGAACTTCTGTGTCAATCGTGTTTGTGCCAGCATCACAGTACCTGAGCTCTCAGGCAGTAAGCCGGTGCGACAGAACCAGAGGACCACCTGTGCGTATTTAGAAATCAGACTGGAGACCATGTTCTTGTTCATCAGACCCACCAGGCCTGTAAAACAAAATAAAACCAGAGCCTTTCAGTGGCTGCAAACAATTCAAAACAACAGCAGTTTCTCAGTTGCTAGACAAAGCTAATCAAAGGTCAATGCATTATAACTCAAAGTGTATCAAGCCATGAAGCTGTGAGGGAATAGTCATTGTTTTACTGACATCAAAACTCAAGACAGAAAAAGAAAAGACCCTGGTAAGAGTGTTTGTTAACAGTTTAGTACAAATGGGAATTAAACAGCGGTGGATGTGTGCTAGCTGAACAGGTTCCACTGTTGTCACAGGGAAATTTAAGACTTGTACTGTGCATGTGGCTGAGTCTGTGTGGAAACTACACCTTTCTGTGTGAGCTCCTGAGCTTCACTGAACAGACACTGGAAGATGGTACTGAGGTTACTGAGCAGCCTCTGGCTGTGCTGCAGCAGCTGCGAGGTCTGAGGGTCTGTGAAGTTGGATGAGCTGTCAAAGAGCGGTGCACCTTGGGAAAAAAAACAACAGATACACTGAACAAAAATCTTCTTTGGGTGTTCAAAAGGAATTTATATCACTAACAGCAAATTAGCAATGTAACCTGTTCCTGTTCTTGATAAGATAAATAATACAGCCTGAAAGGTAAATTTCCTTTGCACATTGAACTCATCTGATCTATCAGATGAGTTCAGTAGGCATGTTCTGCATGCATCAGTTTGTATATTTTCATTGGTTCTGTACCAGAAACAAATTGCTTACTTGGCCAAATAAAGGTGATTATGGTCACAATAAAGTACAATCTTTATAAATGACATCAATTAACATTTTTTGGATCATTAAAATGGCAACATAAAAAAACCACTCCTGGTGCCTCATTATGAAACTGTGTGTAAGATCTAAACCAAATGTTTATGTACACACATCACAGAAAAGCTGAGTGAATATGTTTCACATTGTGGATATGTGAATGGTGAATTGATATGAAGGCAAATTAAACCTGTGAGAAGGATTAATATAAAATCTGGCTTCAGTTCACTGCTTCACCATCTGTGTTGCCAGTTTCTATATAAAATCTGGCTTCAGTTCACTGCTTCGCCATCTGTGTTGCCAGTTTCTACAGTCCCCCAAATGTACATACACATGGCTGAGTGTCTATACAGGCACACACATTCTCATGTCAAGTTTGTTTTTGTAAATCCCTAATTTCTATGGAAAGTGGAGCACCCATGTTTCAAGCGCAATTTTGTGAACATGCAGCCATTATAAATGAGGCGTGTGTTCTGTCTATACAATAGTCTACGTGATTCAGAGTGTCCGTTGATTTAAATAAATAAATAAACAAACATACAGATGCCATCCAGTTCCTCCTTGGTCTGGACTACTTTGTTCCAGGCCCAATCCAGGATGTAGCGGAGGTTCAGAGCAGAGCCTGGTTGTTCTGTTGAAGGACAGAATTTGAAGAATTTGTGGTACCTGCAGCGCTGGTGACTATGGCCTTTTACAAATGTAAAATATTATAGCATAACATGATGACAGAAAGACCAACACTCAGAAGATGTCATCACCACCTACTCACATGCCTACTGATTTCACAGCTTCTTCCCCAGAGCTGTAAAATCAATCACCACCCCACCCCCCAAACCCCTAGTTACACACACAACCTCCCCCCTATGGACAGACACATACAGAACACTGGACCTCCTGCAGACACACACCCATGCTCACACCTCCTGCTAAAGACAGATTTGCACTGAGCTGCACCTTACAATGTTACTACACTCTTTTGCTGCTAACATGCTGCTGACCTGATTAGGTCCCATACATCCCTTTTTATTTGCTCATTGTTTTATATTGACTTATACAATTTTGTTTTATGTAAATAATGTGTCTTTTAAGCAGAGAGCTGCCGGAAAAATCTTTGTTGTGCTATGCATAATGACAATAACGATTCTTGACTTGACTCACTGGCATCCAAGCAGTGAGTTTGGAGTGAGTAGTTTGACTCCTCACCTTCTGCAGTCCACTGCTTGATACAGCCAGTGATCAGTCCCAAGGAGCTGGTCTCCACTGCTGTGGACAAGATGGCATCCAGCTGCTCCTCCTGAAGGCCAACATGAAGTTACAAGTCCACATTACTATAAAATCTTCAGAATACATATTTAATTCTGTTGGTTTTTTTGTCACTTGAAAGATTTCCTTTAATGTGAACTAAAAGAGAAAGTCCAATAGCATCGAGAATGGGGGGCTTGTGTACCTGAGAGAGGCTGGAGGCCTGGGTATCAGCCAGGCGAGATGAGAGTAGGCCAGACATGAGGCAGCGAGAGTAGCTAGTGGAGATGACATCACTGGAGCAAGGAGCCGCCTTCTTTAAAAAGCTCAGGGTCTGGTTATAATGACAGAGGTGAGATGTAAAATAAGCTCATTTTCCACTCAAATCATATTTACATATATTTCAATCCTACCTAAACAATGTCTGCTGTGTAGCCTTAGCAATAAACATCACGGACACACAAGGAAAAACCATGTCCCAGTAACACAGAAGAAAGGTTCTTTGAAATGGTTAAAACCTTTCCATTTGTATATTGTCACATATCCACTTCTTTCAACTGGCATTTTGATTAAATGCAATAAAATTCATGATGAAACGTACCTCTTTCTGATACCCAGAGCAGGTTAAGTGCACAACTCCAGAGTTGAGCAAGCAGGTAGCATCTGTTGTATATAAACACAGTCTATCAGCCTTTAGTAAAATTATATATATCAACTGGAAACCCAGGGATATCTGCATAAGAACAGATTATTCTACATTATGTATTTACTGTCTCTCTTTATAATCACATAACACTGTAGCACATGAAATGTTGACACCTACCAAAGTTGTATGTTGTGGGGTTAAAGTACTGTTCTGGTGGGGGGCAGGTGAAGGGCAGGCCCCTGCTCAGGCTGCGCTCATGTACCACCACATCCAGCATGATATGTGGAGACACCATCTGCACCACTGGATCCAGAGACCAGACTGCCAAGTAGGGACAGTTTGCCAGCGATTCCCCCATTCTGACAACACCACACAAGGGCAAAGTAAATTCAGCAACAGCCCCAGGATGACAAGAGGACACGAGGTCTGTATTTCAATTAATATCAGATGAACAAGCCCATTTTAATTTTCATGGGCCTACTGTATGTGAGATTATTGTATTGTTATAAAGGTCTTGTCTGTCACAAACCAATTATTTACAGTAGGCTACATTTTGTGCAAGCAAACTTATTCTAACTGCAGTCCCATGTCTAATGTATTCCTTTATTTTGCTCTTCTGTATAATTACTTATCCAAATCCAATCCAGAAAATTATTTTCCAGTTAAGAATGCAAAAATTCTCTTGCACAATTGCAAATTCATCCACCACTGTACCTTAAAGAGTCTGGCATTTGTGCATGGTACCAACGGTTGATGTCAAAAACTCCAATGTAGGTAGATGGGGTTCCCTGACCATAGGCCTTGACTTGCCAGGTGAAAACAGACACACTGGTGTCCGGAGATGCAGCTGAAAATGAGAAGCAGAGCGAGTAAAATGGTTAAGAACACAAAGGAAAGTAAGAAATATAAGGGCCAGTACATACAGCACAGAAAAGAGTGGAAAAAAGTGGGACTGTGTGACATTTCGCAGCAGTTTTAATCACACTGCTATTGCTGTTTTAAGTTACCAATTCTCTACTATGACAAAACTGAAGATGTCAAAACACAAAGCATTCAAGTTTGATTAAAAAATGTTTAGAGACTGCAAATGAGCTCTCAACATACTCCTGCCATCCCCAGGTAGTTTCATGGAAAGCAGGCTAACCTTCATTCATGCTGTCATCCCTGTCAGGATGGGGTCTGAACTTCTCAATGGTTTGGCAGCTCAGCAGGCGGGTGTTGGTGGTCTGGGCCCTGAGAGGAAAAGCTGTGCCACCCAACTCCTGACTGTAACGCTCCTCACAATACTCCAGACCCTGAGTGACAGAAAGACAAAGAGTTAGGGGGAAATAAGTAGCACATTTGCTAGAATGTTGTTGACACCATCACAAAGGATCAATTAATCGAGTTGAAAGAGAATACTATTGAAACCTTGTATGCATCACAGACCTCATAGAGGATCTTCCCAGAAGACAGACACTTCCTTTCACTGAAGGCCAGCTGCAGCAGGTGGAGGCTGACTGTATCTCCCTCACTGTGTGGGAGTGAGAGGAGGAAGAAGAAAAATAAGAGCTTGGAAAACAAACACATAACTACTTGGCCTGGATGGAGTACTTGTTATACATAGGCCTTACAGGTCCTGAGAAGACTGGACAGCCCAGAGGTAGCAGCAGTTCCTGGGGTCATTCTCTGGCTCCTGGAAGGTGAAGGCATACACAGGCACCCCGCCACCCTCTAACTGGGAGTGGTATCTACGCAAGAACAATCCAACAATTTAAGAAGTCCTAGAAAATTACATTGTATTATAGCTGCTTATGAATTCAAAGGAAGCACAGACTTTTACAATTATTTTCATCTTGTCTCACTGTATTTTCAATTAGCAACAATAACACAAGTAAAATAACATGTATTACTACAATGAACCATTTCTATTTTAAAAATACTCTACATGACATACAGTAACAATGCAAAGTGGGCTGATTACAAAACAAAACACTCTGTAGCATTAGTCTAACCCACACTCCTATGTCAACCCTTCCCACTTTCACAGAATATGGAAGTAAAAAGAAATATACTCACTCCTTCTTTAGAGCCTTCATGTTCCACAGCTGTAAGTGACCATCAGAAAATCCCACTGCCAGCTGGTTGGTCCTGGAGATGTACTGTAGAGCTGTGACTCCAACACCACTGGCCCCATTCAGCTGGAGACAAAGATGTCTGCCCTGTCTGGTGCTGGCTTCTCTAAGCCTGGGGATTTCTGCAGGAGATTTGGTCACTACCTGCAGGTCTGGGAACAGTCAGATAAAAAAGAGTTTGTGAGAAGAAAAATAAAGATCAGAGCCCCTTTATTAATTTACTAAAGGGGCAGGGGTCTACAATGAACCTGTAGGTCTGCCCCAACCCTTGCTCAAGCAAGTGCCTCACCTGAAGCCTCCACTTCACTTTGGCTGCAGGACAGGTCATCGAGGCAGAGATCGACAAGCAGAACGTGACCAAGGTCAGTTACTACGGCAGCAATGCCAAAGAACCATCGCAGACTCTGGTGGAGGGGCTGTGTTGAAGTGCTTGCACCGCCCTAACTAACTAACGGCTGTGCTTGCACCGCCATAACTAACTAACGGCTCAATGGCTGTAACCTAGATGAGAGAAACGGATGAACGAAGACAAGAAAGGACATTTTTGAACACTTACTAGTAGCATGCACAGATTGGCTAAATCTGTTTTGTTTCTCTAAAGTTTAAAAAAAAAAAAATACTAATCTGTTGGTGCTAGAAATGTTGCCTTAGTCTAATGGTTAACTAATCCATGAGTTTAGCATTTAAATTCAAAGGAAATAACTCCATTTGTTGTTTGTTAATGTATTTACTGATTTTGTAGACTATTTTTTGCTTGTGAAGAAGACCCTGGTGCACAGCCAACTCACTCTGCCTGGTATGACTACAGCTTTGACCACCCTTGACAGTCCCAAGTCATAAAGACACAGAATGCTGCCCTCTGTTTCCTCCAAGCCAATCAGCAATCCTGACCTAGCAAAAGGAAACAGTAAAGGCATTAACATTGATATTTCTAAATATATACTCAAAAATATTTCTTTGTATCAAAATGTAGAAACATCACTCTCATAGAAGTCAGCTACCACTCGCCACGTTTGAATAGTAGTGAATAATGTAAGTAATTATAGTCCACATCAAAGAGATAAACAGATGAAGATAAAGAGGTAAATAGTGAAACAGGATTCTCACCGTTTGAGCCAGCTGAAATCCCTGGCAGCAAGGACAGTAGGTGGGTTCTCCCCTCCACCACTGAAGCAGTACGCAGAAAGCCGTTCTCCTGTCACTGCATGGACAACCTCCAGATGGGGCCCGCAGGCAAGCCAAGCCAGGCCACTACGACCTTCACACGCAGACAAGGAAATGAAAGGTTAGGAGATTATCATCTATAGTTAGGGTCATCACCAAGCATTCAACATAGAGTAGGTCCACCAGACTCAGGACAAAAACAAGAGGGCAGAAAACAAATAGTGAAGATGAGATGAGATAAGCCTTTATTGTCATTGTAGGCTCTGTGCTTCAGCACATTCAATTTTAAATAAAATAATGGATGCTGTGTTAAAGTATGAGGCTTTAATTTGAGTAGGTTTCTGTCAATACATAAATACTGTAAGTGTATGTTAGAAATATCCATTTTAATACACGGTGATCAAGAAAAGATCTTAAGGCTTTTGGGGGCGGCTGTGGCTCAGGAGGTAGAGCGGGTCGTTTCCTAACCGGAGGATTAGCGGTTCGATTCCCGGCTTGTCCAGTCAACATGTCGAGGTGTCCTTGAGCAAGACACCAGTGTGCTGTAAAAGCATAGAAAGGCGCTATACAAGTATAAGACCATTTTGACCATAACCTCTGAGGATCAACCACAAGATCCAAATGCCCAGTAAGCCTCAAAAAGGTTGCAGCTCACAAAAACATGATTAATGATACTACACATAATGCCAAAGCAAGCCAATAGTTTTCCAGGATGAAAATGTGGAATATCTTTTTCTGGACAAGTCAGTTCAACCGGGCTCAATCTGAATAAGCTGCATTACACTTGCTGAAGACCAGCGATACGAATAGGTCAAAGTATTTATTTTGCTCATGAGGAGATGTGGCAACATGCTTTCTATTTCATTCATTGTCACAACTAAGAATGGAGGGAAGAAAACATCCATGAATAGAAATCACTGATCAGTAAAAATAGTCTTACCAACAGTGAACTTCCCATGAAGAACAGAGTCTAGAGTGATTTCATCTTCCCCAAGAGCATCTATAGTCACTCCTGGGAAAGGCAGCAGGCTGCTGGTGACTTGGGCAGTGAGGTCATGCATTGTTCACTGTATAGGAAACATCACAACATAGAGTAGTGCAACATTTAGCCCCGTTACTCTTAAAAATTCCCCCAAAATACTGCAAAATTATGTGGTCAAAAACTGTATGTTGTCAACATCACTGTGCCCTGGTAAATAACATCCAGTGAAACATCCTTTCTGAACACTTTCTATTCTGTAAATCCACTTTGGGCTTTTGCTGCCTGTCTGGGTTTTAGGGTACAAAAGATGCCTCTTTCAAACCACAGCTGCAGCATCAGTTGTCAAGAAATATGCTGACAACTGTGGCTGCAACTGGGTTTGCTGTCTAGTCAATAACACATAATATACTGTACTACTGCATGCGTTAGCAAATGGGAGCTGGGTTCTGATCAACTGCTACAGTAAACAACTGAAACCACTGGTCAGAGAACCCTGGCCTCTTTTTTTTATTCACTTTCCAGACAATCCTAATACATTTTTCATTTATAGACCGAAGACAACAATACTGCATTATTCCTACTAAAGCTTAACTACACAGTGAAACCAAATGTCATTACTTGTTTAGTTGTAACTTTTTGAATTTTGTTTGTGCATTTTTTTTAATTATATTTGTTATATATCTTCAGTCAAGAGATCCACATAGGTTCATAAGTTTACATTTACTAACTTTATACTAATCATGCCCCAACAATTTGGAATAACCTACCTGTTTATCTTAAAATATATAATCAGTTTATATAACAAGTTTAACACCTGTTTCTATGACCATGTTTTGCCTTGTGTTGACTTCTATTCAGTCGTTTTGACCATTACTGACCCGAGTATGTAACTGCTCAGGCAAGTTATTGCACTAGTGGTCCAACTAGATAATACAGTATTCACAGTGGTGCTTTCAAGGCCAGCTCAATCTGAAACCGAATCTGGCAGATTCACGGTGTGCAAACTGAACACAGTACTGCCCTCTGCGACCACAATGGAGAACAGTGAATTCAAGTAAACTCCCGCGCAACAAGCCCGTCACTGCGCTGCCACATGCCATGACATGATATGGAACATGTACACAAACTATGAGCATTACAAGTCAAAGGAGTCCAATATGTGCACGTAATAGCAACGCTACACTGCTACTGACACAAGCAACGGTTATAGAACAGTAAACAAAGTTGTTAAAATAAATCTAGCTTCACCAAATACAACATCTAGCGCTCACGCGTCAATATCTGCAAAGGTTGTCTGACAACCCGTAAAACCATTAACTCTCACAACATGTTACAACTCAGCATAGCTATCAAGGGTAACCGTATATGAGACAAGATTTTGTAGATAATTAAACAACAATCAACTGGCTAAATTGTTAACATCTACACAAATCAGTTTCATCAGTTAGCGCCGAGTTAGCTTGACACAATGTAAACAAACAACTGATCGCTTTCTTGGTGCAATGTAATGCACGGTGCTGCTGCACACATACAACAGCGAAGAAAGGTTAAAATATGCTGGTATTATTTACTGTTAAATAAGGGCTGGAAGCTGCCTTACACAGTTCCCTCAGTTTCATTAGTAGGCTACCCAGTTAGCTTGCAAGGTCACGCTGGATTAGTTTATCCGAGTTCACCGTTGAAGTTGAGCTAGCTAGCCTAGCTACAAGGCTTGAGGAACAGCAAATATTAGTTATGCCAAAACAAATCTGCTATTATCACATTTATATTACACCAAATGTAATATACAATAACCACGACTGTTATTAACATCTAAACACAAACTTTATTTATTCGTTTGAGAATTACTATTTACAAGGAAAACCAGGGTGGCTAGTTGCTACCATGGCGTTACTCTTGCTAATATATAACGACTGCTGGCGTTAATATTAACCAAGCAATTGTAGCTAACTTATGTTCATTTTTCCAGGACCAACTCACAACCAGTGGCAGAATTTTGCCAGTAGCAATCTCATATCGGACGTCAGCGAAGAGTCTTGTCTATAAAGCCACAACCTGAGAATGTAGCTAGGTAAAGGTCTGTGGTCTCTGGTTGTGGTCTAGCTTTAGCTTTAGCTGCAACAATACTGAACCTGGCTAAAGCTTGTAACTACTGGCAACACCACTGCATCGCTAGTGTCTATCAGCGACAAGTCACGTCCAGTCTTAAGATAAATCTTTTTGAGGAATTAGCCAACATACAGGAGTTAGGTCAGTGAACCTAGCCCCATCTCAACTGCGCTGGAAAACGTGATGCAATGTGCCGCTAGCTACTGCTAACGTTACACTAACTACCTGTCCGAGGATGTTGACTGCTTTATCGGCACCACGAATGTTTTGTGTTCCTTCACTAATCCTCCGATTCCTTCTTTCATCTGTGATAATCCGCTCTTTTTCAAGGCGCAACCCATGCGTTCAGCCCTCCAGGGCCAGTTAAATGACTGACAAACACCAAATACTTCCTCTGACTTCAGTCTTCCACAGAGTAAAGCGCCATTTCCATAGCCAGAAAGTCTCCATGCGCTTCTTCTTCGCCGTCTATATTTCTGGCAGAATAGACAAAACGAAGATGTACTACAGCCCTCCCTTGACTGGGCATAATTTCTACTTAAACGTTTAACTTACTTTTGGGCTAAAATTTTGATACCGCTTTTTTTGCACAAGTAGAAGTAGCAATACCACAGTGTAGAAATACTCCGTTACAAGGGAAGATCTGCATTATAGGCTTACCTAAGTACAAAGCATTAGCATTATTGTATTTATCTTAATGTTGCCTGTGACATAAGATACAAATAAACTATTTTTGTACAGATTTTTGTATTTAAAAACATTTAAAAGCTCATCCTAAAAGGTTTTAATGCAAAATGTTAATTTGAAAAGTAACTACTAACTACAGCTTTCAGATAAATGTAATAGAGTAATCATACTGTATTTGCCTCTAAAATATAGATGGAAGAAAATTACTTGACAATAAGTCATAAATTAATGTTCATATGTGGTGACTTCAATATAGATTTGTTAAATCCTAACAAGCACACAGGAACTGAGGAGTTTATTAACACAATATATAGATGTAGTCTATATCCAAAAATTACAAAACCAAGTCGAATAACAACCCAGCATGCGACACTAATAGATAATATATTTACCAATGATATTGAAAGCAAAATGACAAGTGGATTACTTATAAATGATATTAGTGATCATCTACCTGTATTTTTGGTTTATGACTGCCATTTTAGAAAAGAAAGGCCAAAAACAAATCTATTCTATAGGAGGGTAATTAATGAACAAGCTGTAAGGAGGATTAAGGAGGAATTAGGGGGGCAGGACTGGAAAGCAGTTTACAAAGAGGAAGACTTAGACAAAGCATATGAACAATTTTTAAATATATTTAAGGACGTATATGACAGGAACTGTCCTCGTAAGCAGTATAAAAACAAAAGGAATTACAGTGGGAAACCGTGGATGAGTAAGGGATTACAGAATGCATGTAAAAAGAAGAATGCGTTTTATAAGGAATTCATAAAGTACAGATCAAAGAAGACGGAAAAAAAATATAAGTCGCTTAAATGATTCAAAACTGTACCATCTTATTTTGTCTTATTTGATATGTAATAAAAAAAAAACTGGCTAAACAGACTAAATACATATGGGCCTCAACATGTCAATGTGATCATTGTGATTATTGCAACAAAAGGCAATTTACCTGTGACTGCTGCAACACAAACAATTGTGCCTGTGATTTCCAAACCATTTTCCATTCTTTATTAAAAATAGGGTGTCGTGTCCAATAACATCACTGATGACAGTGCTCAGAGTGAACCAAAACAGCAAAGTTGTGGACTATAGAATGAAAACAGTGAAGGATGCTAAAAGCCCAGCTGTAAGGAGAACTTCAGAGTCCAATGACAAACTAATTCTCATTCAAAAATATGAGCATCACCTTTCTCATTTTGCTGCCCTCATTACTGTAGCTTTAAATCTGCAATAATGGCCTTTTTCACTGCCTGGGGACTCAATATTGACATATCTTCACCTTTTAAGTTGAATTTGTGAACCTGTCAGCAAGCAGTTGCTTATTTACACACCCAGCAGTTACAGAGCATTATTGCCATTTGGAGTCACGTGTCTGGTCATCAGGTCCAATATATACAGTACTTTCTTTTAGCTCTGTTTTTGGTCTCCACCAACTCCAAAATATCTGATTCTTAATCTACGAACTGCTTGAGTATGTTCACCAGTTAGCTGCTAGCACCAAGCCTCGTCCACAAACAGTGTGTACACACAATTCTGTGCTGAAACCGTGTATACAAACAATTTATGCACAATTTTATTCAATATTCTGTATCAATATTTTCTTACCTTAATTTGTTCATACTCTGTGAACAAATTTAATACTGCCTCACCCCATGTGTATGAACAAATGATGAAGGCCTGGCTGGCTAAAAAATGCAAACACATTTTAACTGAAACTATATTAATTAAAAAGGTTTTAATAGCTAATATAATTGATTAATATAATTTAAGGCTATAATGATTAATTTACTAATGCATTGACCAAATGTAGCATATTAAATAAACATGAAATTAATGCCCTGTCATTCTGATTAATCACAGTTTTAATTGAAATAAATTAAATTTAAAAAACTGTTCTAGTTTATAAGTATATAGAGAAATGGGGGCATGGCAGCAGGCTACTTGAAAACCACTGGAATGCGCCTGTCATTTTAGAATGATTCTGATTTACACTAACATACACACAATAGAAAGAACAAAATTGGCTGGTGTCATGAATATGATGGTAATGTCTCCTGCACTTATTTTGTGCACAAGGTAAGAACATTTCTATGCGCATGTTAGTGAATAAGGTCCACTGCCTGTCTGCCGTTTGGTGTTTACAGTCTTATGCAAAAGTTTAGGCACCCCTTGATACATAACAGATTTTGGTGATTTTTTATTTGAACAGATGTTAACACAGTTTCTCTTGGAAATGGAAAAAATGCACAATATTTTCTGCAAACAGTGATGCATAGTTACTTCTTATGCCATAAATTGAACAAAAATAAAAAATAAAAACATTATTATGGCATGGTGCAAAAGTTTGGGCACCCTACACAATCAGTACTTAGTAACACCTCCTCTGGCAGATATCACAGCTTGCAAACGCTTTTCATAGCCAGCTAAAAGTCTTTCAATTCTTGTACTTGGGATCTTCTCCCATTCTTCCTTGCAAAAGGCTTCTAGTTCTGTAATATTCTTTGGTCGTCTTGCATGCACAGCTCTTTTAAGATCTACCCACAAATTTTCAATGATGTTTAAATCAGGGGACTGTGATGGCCATTCCAAAACCTTCAGCCTGCGTCTCTTGAGGTATTCCATAGTGGATTTCGAGGTATGTTTAGGATCATTGTCCTGTTGTAGAAGCCATCCTCTTTTCAGCTTCAGCTTTTTTACAGATGGTGTGATGTTTGCTTCCAGAATTTGCTGGTATTTAGTGGAATCCATTCTTCCCTCCACCCGTGCAATGTTTCCTGTGCCACTGGCTGCAACACAACCCCAGAGCATGATAGATCCACCCCCATGCTTAATAGTTGGCAAGGTGTTCTTTTCATGAAATGCTGCTCCTTTTTTTCTCCAAACATGCCTTTGCTGATTGTGTCCAAAGAGTTCTATTTTAACTTCATCAGTCCACAGCACTTGTTTCCAAAACGCATCGGGCTTCTGTAGATGTCCTGTTGCATACTTCAGACGTTGGATTTTATGATGGGGACGCAGATAAGGTTTTCTTCTGCTGACTCTTCCATGAAGGCCTTGTCTGTGCAAGCATCGCTGCACAGTGGAACGGTGCACCACCACTCCTGAGTCTGCTAAATCTTCCTGCAGGTTTTTTGCAGTCAAATGGGGGTTTTGATTTGTCTTTCTGACCAGCATACGAGCAGTTCTGTCCGAGAGTTTTCTTGGTCTTCCAGATCTCATCTTGACCTCCACAGTTCCCCTGATCTGCCATCTCTTAATTACATTTCTTACTGTGGAAACTGCAAGCTGACAACGCTTTGCTATCTTCTTGTAGCCTTCTCCTGCATTGTGGGCATCAATAACTTTCATTTTCAGGGTCTTACACAGCTGCTTAGAGGAACCCATGGTTGCTGGGTGTCCACAAGTGTGTGCACAAGGTTTGAAGAGTCAAAGTATTTGTACAGCTTTGAAATTGGCATTTACCAATGACAGCTGTTGCTGTGCATCAGATCTAACGAGCTGATTAAGGTCTGATACCTTGTGAGAGACTTTGAGACTCTGGAACTCTTAGGGTGCCCAAACTTTTGCACCATGCCATAATCATGTTTTTATTTTTTATTTTTGTTCAATTTATGGCATAAGAAGTAACTATGCATCACTGTTTGCAGAAAATATTGTGCATTTTTTCCATTTCCAAGAGAAACTGTGTTAACATCTGTTCAAATAAAAAATCACCAAAATCTGTTATTTATCAAGGGGTGCCTAAACTTTTGCATAAGACTGTATATGCAAGAACAGGATCAACAATTAATCAGGTGTAACACTGTGGGTGTGGTGTAAGAATGTTAACACTTTGTAATATTTCTACTTGTGTGATGTAGAAGATAATTATCAAAGAATGTAATTATGTAAGAATGTTAACAGTATGTAATATTTTTTAGTATATTACTAGCGTGGTGTAGAACAAAATTATCTATGTAGTAATACTGCTTGCAAACCAATGATGGTAAGATGACATTATGGGGTAGGACTAAATAAGTCTGACTTCTTCCTACTCCGTTCAAGCTTGTACTAGGTATAAGCAAGTTGATAATGCATTTGTGGATATGTGTGAAATTATGTGTGTTGACATATTGACTGTCGTTACATGTTTGAAAGAATAAATCAAATCAAAAAAATGTAGTGGTTCAAGTAAGGAGTAGCAAAAATTTAATTACTCAAGTAAACTACAAAAATCTCAAAACTGTACTAAGTACAGTACTTGAGTACATGTATTTAATTACTTTACACCACTGGACATTAGCATAAGGACCATATTTCCTCCTGGGCTATCAAAATCTTTGTTCACAATTAAATGATATGGTGCCATCTATAGGCCTGTCAACCAATGCTGCTCAATATTGGCTAGTGTATTACTGCTGTGCCTAATGTAGACTATCAAATTTAGGTGTATAGCACCAAATCATAGGGTCTCATTGGACTTAAGGCCCACTACATCACTAATTTACAACACAGATCTTTAGGAAGGCTTGACAAAACTTGAAGAAAATCACAACACATAACATATACTGACCACCAAAATGAAAACATAGCAAAACCTTGCTTCCTAAGCTTAAAAACATGATTTAAGAAGCTGTTAATTTTCAACTCCTTATGTAGGAACATAAAATTAGAATACAGAACTTTAAGCTCATATAGCAAGGGATTCTACTTTACACAAGCACTATAATACTATTGAGTAACAAACTAAAAAGTTGTGCTACAGCACTTTTTAATCACATTCTTTTAGCTTTTCAGAAGATCAATTAAAGAAATAACACACAATTACACTATGGATTAGAAGCTAGTAGAAAATGCCAGACAAAGCAGAACAAGACGTTCAAATAATCCATGTGTATTTGCTTTTTTAAACAAAAAATGAATGCATTTTTCCCCAAGGTTAATCAAGGTTAAATTTGTTGTATAGTGAACACACTCAAAAACAACCTATTAATCAGAGGCAGCAAATGAGGAAAACACTCAGGGGAAGGAGCACTTATAATTTGCATGTATGATCAAATGTATGATTCTACACATTTTATATATATAAAAAAAAGTTATAACATGTTTCATAAAGTGAAAAGTTAACATCAAGACAGTAACAATGTAGCTGCCAAAACAACTGTCAAAGTCGGCTGCCTGATGACAGAACACAACATGCTATTGGTTTAAAAATAAAGTGGTATGTATGAACGTGTTCACAGTGTTAGTACAAGAGTCACTTCCACATTGTACTGCATGAAAAACATTACTATGCAAGAGAAAAGGGAAATTCTGCAACATCACCAGTGCTGACTTGTGACTACAGTGACAGAAAAAGCAAGTCATTTCTAGAACAGCCTGTGGAGCATGAAGCAGAGGCCTTTTGTTGATCATTTGTGATGGTGGCACAGGGGTAGATATGCATACAATAGCAGAACATAGTCCCATTCAATCTTTTTTGTCTGTATTGACTGATTCACATTATTTGGTATTTTCAGGGGTCATTCATTCCACCAGCTGAAGGAGAATCTTTACGTTGAAACACCTTTGACCCTGAAGGCATCCTAAACCTTGCTACACAACATGTGCACAGTCCAATCCTCCCAAAGTGTTTCTGATATGCAGGTGTTCGCATTCTGCAGCATGTTCCTCTTCTACTGATGCTCTACAGGGATAATAGTTTGCCACACACAAGGACAACTCCGTGATGACTCATTGCCAGGATGTTTTAAAGCTAAATAACCAACTCCTTTTAATAGTACCAGACAACGTCAGAAAACTACAGCTGTGGCCTCTCAGTTTCCAGCATAGCTCTCCCAATTTATACACTGATTTGTCTTTCTGAATACACTGACAGCATTTAAAATGTCCAAACAACATTGGTTGTGCTGTTGCATGATGATGCCCTCTGCTGAAAGGTCTGCTTTCTTTGACAGTCGTCCATTCTGTGTGTGAAAACCTTTGCTGTTGCACAGAAGTGTCCATCTGACATTTTCGGGTGTTCCCCGTTAGGGGTTGCTACAGCAAGTTGCTATACTGATGATTCACATGTTGAAATTTGGCACGGTTTACGCCGGATGCCTTTCCTCAACACAACCCTGAATTGAAACCAGGCCGCAGCGGCAAGAGCGCTGAATCCTAGCCTGCTGTTGCACAGAACAGTTTATGAAAAAGTCATTTGTAAACCAACTACACATGCATACTGACACTCAATGTACAAGATCAAGCAGACCATAGGGGATTAGATATTTTTACCATCATTACTGTTTTAAAGCTAGCTTTTATGGTTCTCACCATCATTGATTTTTGAAATTAGATTCCAGTATTTAGAGATTTATTGAAAATTGTAAGAGAGATGAATTAGTTTGATAGGATTTATCATGGATTACAAGGCACAATGATATGGCTGCATTACCAATGAACACAATATTTGAGGAAAAAAATAATCTCATTTACATTATAGTCTAAGTGACTGAATCGGAGAATAAAGTAAGTGGAGTGTTCTGTGATTTTTTCCGCATTTGTTCATCAATCATCAAGTCAAACTCTTGTCTTTCTCTGGAAAAAAAAAGAGAAACAGGAAAAAACAATCACTGATCATATTCAGTATTTGGTGTAAAAAGTGTTCCTTTAAAAGGTTTAATTCAGACCCTTACCTGTTACTAATGCATCGTCCTTTAAGGTACTTTTCCTCTGCCTTTTTTAGTGAGACATTGTCCACCCCAGCTATGGCATAAATGATGGCCTGGAAAGAAAGACAATTACATTAACATCTGTACTACATAAACTGCGAAGCATATCAGTAAACATACCCTAGGCTATAACAGGAAAAAAAATAAATAACGCGCACCACTAAAGGTGGAATGGTAAAGTAAAAAAAAAAAAATCTGACCCATTCAGTTCGCTAGTCACGGTTCAGTGCATGTATGTATTGTTCAGTTAATCTGACATAGGCTGAGACATGTTACTGAGGGAAAAGCCTCACCCCCAAAAACCCAGGGACACCAAGTTTGTGCAAATGATTTGATTTGATTTATTTATTCTTTCAAGCATGTAAAGACAGTTGATATGTCAACACACATAATTTTACACATATCCAACAAATGCTAATCCAATATCAATTTGCTTATATCTAGAACATGCTTGAATGGAGTAGGAAGAAGTCAGACTTATCCAGTCCTACCCCATGACATCATCTTACCATCATTGGTTTGCAAGCAGTAAATAATTCTCTTCTACACCACACAAGTATTATACTAAAAAATTGTAACAGTGTTAACATTCTTACATAATTACATTCTTAAATAATTATCTTCTACACCACACAATATACTAGAGAATTATTACAAAGTGTTAACATTCATACACCACACCCACAATGTTCCATCTAATTAATCATTAAGCCTGTTCTTGCATATATCTTGATTGACACATACCTTTATATTTATGTTTAAACTCATCAATTCTATTACTATTTTTTATGTCTACACTTAAATTATTCCATAGTTTTACCCCACTTATGGAAATACAAAATCATTTTTTGGTTAAAAAATTTTAACAATTTAGACTGTATGAAAGCTACATTGGTGTGATCCCTATACCCCATCTTATGCACAATTCTTATCGCTCTTTTTTGTAGTATATACAATGGCTGAAGTAAGCTTTTGTTTGTATTTCCCCAGTTTTCAACGCCATACTCCAAGTATGGTAAAATCAATGAAGAATACAAAATACGTAGTGCTTTCCCGTCCAAAATATATCTAACCCTTGTCAATATCGATATATTTTTTGCTATTTTGTGCTGAATATATCTGATATGA